AAGTAAAAAAAAAAAGATTTCAAAGTATCCATATGTTCTGGGGGAAAATTACATAAGTTTTGAAAAGTTTTGAAGCCCTAAATTTACTAGTTGCCTTAGAAAATAATATACTCTGTCACTAATTTAGAGGATTAGAGAAGAAACTTATTCCTGAAATATTCACATAAGATTGTCACATGGGTGAGGTGAAGTTCGTTAGTTCAAAAATTTTTTTTTTTTTTTTTTTTTTTTTTAAATGAAGGCAACAACCCCCCATCTATTACCAAATACAACAAAAAACAAGTAACAAAGGTTTCAAGGTTAGTGAAAAGAGTTTTGACTGCAGGCAGTAGGGTGATGGCTGGCTGATCATCTTTGGGAGGCTGCATGTGGTGTGCACACATGTTACTGCCCTCTGCCGAAGGCACACAGCCATGCTCCAGGAAACAAGTCCATCACTTCCAAATACTGCTGCAGCAGAGTCTTACTGAGCTCAGGCAGCAGAAACCTGCCACAGGTGTGCAAATTGCAGTGAGCATGCTCACACCAGGGTCACTTTGCCTGGTGTTGGCTCTGCGCTGGCCTGCATCCATGCCTGGCCTGAGGTAAAGACCCAAAAGACAGAGCACTGGCACAGGCTGCCCAGGGAGGGTGTGGAGGCCCCTTCTCTGGAGATTTTCAAGACCCACCTGGATGCAGTCCTGAGTAACGTGCTCTAGGCAATCCTGCTTTAGCAGGGGAGTTGGACTAGATGATCTCTAGAGGTCCCTTCCAACTCTGAAAATTCTGTGAAAAGATGCTTGTTTTATAAAGCTCCCAACTAGCCACACTGTGCTGTCAATGGCAAGAAATCCCCAGGACCCCTGCCCAAGCTGTGGTACTGGAGAATAGGCGTTGCACTGACTGTGCCTACACAAGAGCAGGCTGATGCACTTTGTTCACTGAGGGTAGAGCTGACATGGTAAGTGGAGGAACAGTCTTCAAAAGAGCAGCTAGAATAACCGATTTAAACTACTGGAATCACTGCCGAGGAGCAAGGCAGCATTTTAGATCTGCCTAGGCTTTCCATGGTTAGAGAACTAGACAAAGGGAGTGAGAAGGCTTAGAACTCAAAGGGTTTTTTTCCATCAGATATCTCCATTGACTTCACTGGCCACCAGATTGCATTTGGAAGCAAACTGGAGAGACCAGAAGCTTATTACAGTCAATCTCTTCAGAGGTAGCACATCCCACCTCTCTCTGCAACATTTTTCTCTTGCTACTAGTGCAGGAATCAAAGCAAAAACTCTTCTCTCTCATTCCTGCAGGTACACCTCATCAGAATCACAGAATAGATTGGGTTTGAAGGGACCATCTAGTCCACACAACCCCTGCAACGAGCAGGAACATCTTCAACTACAGCACATTGCTCAGAGCCCCATCCAGCCTGACCTTGAATGTTTCCAGGGATGGTGCATCTACCACTCCTTTGGGCAACCTCTTCCAGTGCTTCACCACCCTCAGCATAAAAAATTTCTTCTATACGCCTAGTCTGACTCTATCCTCCTTTAGTTTAAAACCATTACCCCTGGTCCTATTGCAACAGGCCCTGTCTGTCTTCATCTTTGTTACAAGACCCCTTTAAGTACTGAAAGGCTGCAATAAGGTCTCCCTGGAGCCTTCTTTTCTCCAGACTAAACAGCCCCCAATCTCTCAGCCTTCCCTCAGCTCTTGCACTCTATGGAAAGCATCAGGGCTGAAAAATTCACCCACTGCCATGACTACACTTGTTCTGTGAAAGGGAGCTCACATTCCTCGTTGTCATCCTCGTTGTCATCCCTGCATCTGCCCCAGTTGCCAGCCCAGAGCCTGGCCAGCTGGAACCTCTCCCCATGGAAAATAAACATATCCCAGGACTGGCTCAGGGCAACAGCCCTCATCTCCCAGGGCTGGCAGAAATAGCAGCAATGAGGGTCTGAGAGTCAAAAGCCTCTTCAGGGGGCAAAAACAACAACAAAAAAAAGGGACAAACACAAAACTTTTTGAACAGTGACTCCAGATCTAATGGATTTTATTCATGTTTCTCAAGCAACGTGGTGTGACGCAACACTGGGACAGAGACAGGACCAACAAATACTTCTCCTCTTCTCACATCACCCTCACGGCCAGACTTCACCTGTTAAGCCTTTCTGGTGGGTTTATGCCAGCAGCAACTAGCAGGATCATTGCAAGAAATAGCTGAGGAGGAGGAAGGGAGAACCTGAGTGTCTGATGCCATGGATAGCATCTCTGCAAGTCAAACAGCCATGAAAGAGGTCTGCCTCAGATCTATCCAAGCAACCTCCAGAGCAGGCTGGGCTCAAAAATCTGACCTGGTCCACAGTTCACCTGGTTTTCCACCAGTCCATGAGCCCAGGAGCCTGAAGCTCAATTCTTAAATGCTGCTACCAGAATTGCAAGCATTAAGGGTGAGTTGAAGCTGGAAGAAACTCTGAGCCTAGACCTGTCTCTGGCTGGCACCAGGAGAAACTGGGAAGTGGTGGAACCTGCAAAGACCTGGTAGGAAACAGAGAGGCCTTTAAAACTTGTTTGGGGCCAGCAGTTGCCGGGGAGACTCAGCTCCAAGCCAGTCAGGGCTGGGCTGGCCTCCCCTTCCTCTCGGAAGAAGCAGACTTTTGGCCAATACCAGCGTGCTGGTCACACTAGTTAGTTCGCAAGGGCTGATGCTTAATGCCAGCACAGTTCAGGCAAGCAGACATATGTGGGTATTGAAGCCACTGTATAGTCTGCATGTACTGTAGGAAAAAAAAAAAAAAAGAAAAAGAAATAAAAAAGGAAAGAAAGAAAAAAAAAAAAAAGGCCTTGGCCACACAGACATGTTCACCTGACCTGGCTCAGAGGGAGGCCTGGTCTGCCAGGTGAGGATCTGCATAGGTGTGGAGGGAGATGGGGAGGATGAACCCACCTGGAGCTGGGCCCTCTCCTTGGGGCTTTCAGCTGCCAGAGAGAACATAAGCCTTGTGCAACTCCTGTCCTATCCCATGCCCCAGGGATATGGGCTCTGGCATGAGGCACCAGTGGACAGGATTTCTGCCTGGGGAGGAAATGGCACACTTGAGAGATGATCCAGTCATTTTAATGGAGCTGCCCAACTCGGTCAGAGGCAGCCTTTGTGACTCCCATCCCATGAACACTCCCATAGCTTCTGATAGCATTTAGGTTTGCTCCCCCATTGCTGCATGTAGAAGCAGCCCAGAGGAGAGCCACCCCCCTGTGGAAATTAGCTAACAGCATCCTCAGCTTCACACTGAGCCAACACCACCTGATGCCAAGAGGCAGCTAGAGCCACAGTCAAGCTGCACCCCACCATGCTCCCAAAACCAGCCAGCACCAAGATGGGAGAACAAGACACAGGACACAGCTTGACTGACAGGGTACTCCAGCGGGTACAAACTGACACCACAAACACAACACAGATGCCCATCTAACCGTTTGACCGGCTTGTCATCCAGCAGGTAACTGCCTAGCACTGACCCTTTCTTCAACAGGGGCTTTTTGTTCAGAGGCACCTGGAAGTTGAAAAGAGAAGGGATGAAGAATGTGATCAGGACCCAGCGACATGACCAGCCTCAGTTCAACAACTTGCCACCTCTGCAGACCGCTTTGGGGAGGCAAGGCTGGAGCCCTTGCAGCCCCGTACCATGTGGTGGTAGTGCTCTGCTGGCAGGCTTGAACTGAGGTGAGCACAGGGCTTGCTTTTCTCAATTCAGCTCATTTAACTCATGCAAGAAGGCATCGCTGTTGCTGCTTTCCTCTTTGCAACAAACCCCATCAAAAATAGTGGTGCCCCAAACTGAATTCTTCCTCTAGACAGCCAGAGCTTTTATTTCTGTGGCTTGTTCTCCACTTGGTCTGACAGCTGAGTCTCTCTTTCCCCACTTGCCTTTTTATTATGCTGATGTTTTGTGGGACAGACTGATTGCCCCCTCCTCAGAAGGAACTAGTACCCCTTCTACACCGGTACGCACCCAGAGCTACACATGCACATAGAAAAGGAAGGAGACCGCTCTGCAAAGGGGAATGCACATGCTCTGCCTTACACGAACATCTTTCTCCATGCTTTCCTCCTACTTACCTGACTACACACTTCCTACAGCCACTGTTTACCAGCTCCCTAGAGAAGGGGAAAGCAGGACAACTCCTCTTGCAACCCTCTTCCCACCCATGCAGCAGCTTTGCCATCCTCAGCAAAGATGAGCAACTTGCCTGTGGAGATCATGCAGGAAAGCCTGTGGCAGAGAGAGGATTGACCTGGCAGCTCCCCCAAATGCCATGCCAAAGTCTAGCCCCCCCTCACCCCAAACCAATTGGCTAACTGCTCTAGCTACACACAGAAAACACAAAGTGAAAGACAGCAGGGCAAGGTGCGGTGCCCACTGCCTCTGCGCTGGGGGAAAGGGAGATGTACTCACTCTGTAAGTCTGGAGGTTTCTGGCACGTCCTCACAAGTTATTTCTTGGGGTAAAGGTGGGGAAAGATTTGACAACCTGCCAGATCTGCTCTGGCAGCAGTTTTGAACTGACCAAACACCTGCAGGCAGCTCTGGACAGGCCTTCCTTCATGCTGCCCACAGCCCAGGGGAGGACTACAGAGATTATTTCTTCAATAACCCCTGGCTTATTTTAAAAGGCAAAAAAAATTAAGAAGCTGCTGTTTTGGCCAGAACTCCCAGCACCTTTACTACAATGCAGTCCAACAAAAAGAGACACTCTGAACTCCACAGAGGACCTCACCCAACTCAGAACTTTGAGGGGGGGAAAAAACCCGCCACCCCAAAACTGTTTTTACATAGAAAACTGGTGTTCAAGAGAAGCTCCAGCCATAGAAACATTCCCACCCTCACAACTGTGGAGCACATATCTTCCAAGGCAAAGGACCCTCAACTGCACAGTGACCCTTTGGTCAACACTGATATCAGGCTGTGGTTCAGCCAACCAGTGGTTCTCCAATGGGGATGGAGGAGGAATTTTCAGGGTTTGAGCAGGTTCGCTCAAGGGCTTTCTCTAGACACAAAGAAACAAGGAAATGATGTTACAGCCGACTGGAGCTGAGTCACAACCTTCAAGTCACCTGTGAAGCAAAGGGACTCTCAGGCAATCTGCTATGGCACCACCCTACCTGGAGAGGAAACAGCCTGAAGAGTACATACCTGGGTAAGAAAGGAGAAACAACCGGGCTTGTTTTGCCATTGGTTCTGCCATGCTTTATTGGCCTGCCAAGTTTGTGTAACATTTGGCTTTTCACCAGGATGATAAAGGGACAGACAAGACATCACAGCTGTACAACACACAATGGCAAGGATTCCACAACAACAGCAGCACACGTACAAGCATTTTGGATGGGAAAGATTCTGGTTTATCTGGGATAGGAAAAATGCTGGTTTATCAGGGAAATACAAATACGCGTCCAATGTAGTCGAAGTCCCAAAACACTCTTCATGATGAGCAGACATGAAATTCGCTCTGTCAACATACAGCATGCAAGCATAACTCTATAGCCAGATGGGTCATGGATGTGAAAGTGTACCCGCAACTCCTGCATCTTAAAAGCACCCAGCAGTGGTTTGCACACAGGCAGAAATAGACACACATTGCTATCTGTGACCTAGCCACTGGGGCAAAACAGTGCCCTACGGTGCCATGGGGCCAGGGTCTGCCTGCCCTGACCAGGCCAGAAACTCTTACAAAGAGCAACATATTAAGCTGGGCACTGAGAAGTGCAAAGGAGCAGTGGCTGGGTTGCTATCAGCTGTGTACAGCCCAACTCCTCCTTCCAACCACTCCAAAATATTTGCCATGAAAGAAGCACTGTTCATCACACCTTCATTTCACAGAAATAACACAACCCTTCCCAGCACTAACAGAGGGTATTAAAGCCTTGGGCTTCTTTTTAGCCTGTAAAAGCATTCATAGTCTCTGGCAGAGAATGTGTCACACACCAGGGATCCCCTTCAGAAGGCTGAACTCTTTTGCTGCTGCAGGGAAGCATTACTATTTTCTCTCCCCCTTACAGTGGGACAGGCTGGACAGCAGATTTTCTGCAGGTGTATGACAATAGCAGCATCTCTGCAATCCCTTGGAGCCCTGCTTTTCTGCAGACTAAAACGAGAGTGGCCAACAACATGTCCTAGCTGACAAAGGTAAAAAAACCCTTATTCCAGTACAGGCTTCATCTGCCCAGCATGACACAGCCTTGCAGATGAGCAATGGTGGTAGGAGGAATTCACCCTGCTGCCCCATCCGTACTGCAAGCACAGGGAGAAGGGAGAAAGCGGCTCCTCTGTATTATGACTCTCTCTGCTAGGGTCTCTTTTAGGTTCACCAGCAACTGTCATGAGCAGGTCCTAGTGGGGGAAAAGGAGAGGAGAATAGAGGAGAAGCAGGCAAGTTGTGTACACACAGAGGTACATATCTGAACTGTGGTCTCCACCGGCCATCTGCCCCACCCACAGGAACCCAGAAGCTGATGAAGCACTACGCATGGAAAGAGGAGAACAAACCATTTTCTTTGCCTACTTGCACTGGACTCTGCTACAGAGTGACTGTGTTTATTACTTCTCCAAGAGAGATCAGGAGGCTCTGGTGCACACACACATACTTAGCAGCTTTAAAAATGGAGGGGGGGAGGGAAATTTCTTTCAGATTTCAGAAACACATATGCAAAGGCACACACCTCACCTCCATCCAAGACAGTTACTGAAGTTATTTTATACAGCTGCTGCTCCACTTGGAGAACTCCAGCCCCTCCCCCAGCAGGGCATATTGATCCTTATCTGAGCACCATCCCTATGCTTCCCTTACACACCAACCAGAAAGTCTCTCATGACCTACCACTGCCTGTCCTCATGGCAAGGCAGGTAATTCCACGTCTTCAAGTGGGGCATGGTGGCAGAGCAGGCAAAGACACATGGTGGCAGGGATGGGTCCAAGAAGAGCATAGAGCAGCTTTGCCAGTGACATTCGGGAACACAAAGACTTTTGCATGAAAAAATAATAAGAATTAAAAATCGGTCACGTATTCGTACTTATCTTGGAGACTGGGAAAGGCCAGAGATGGAGCGGACTGTTCCAGATGTTACAGACCCCATGCTTTCTCCTAGCCCTCTGACACAAGACTCACTACTGCACCTCCAGCCCGGCAGAGTTCACAGGAATGGGGAGGAACATCTGTTCCCAGAGGAACATCTGAAAACATCTGCTCACAGGGTCAGAGAAACTCCAAAACCCTTCCATGCCCCTCCACCCCTAGTCAGCTGGCAGCACATCTGGGAATCCATCTTCTTCCCCACCACCAGGAATACATCCAGCTTCACTCCCCTCCTTGCATGTGCCCATTGCCTGTCGCAACACACAGACCTCATGTGTGCAGCAGGCAGCACCCGCTGCAGCCCTGCATGGGGCTGCGTGACAGTCACAAGCTAACGCGCCTTGGGTTAAACCTGGGCAGTTGGCAACAGCAACCAGCAGAGCTCGTCTCCAGCACAGGCAAAGAGGTGCTCTGAAGTCTGTATTAAGAACCACTCCAGGCCTCAAGAGCTCAGGTCATTGTCCCCCGTGGAAGTGACAGGCCCCAGAGTGGCGACAGCAACAGCAGCAGATGAAAGGAGGGTGGTTGGGAATTAGGATTTTCTTTCTTAGACTAACCAGCTTCTTGGCTTCAAAAGCATCTCGCTCATCTCGAAGTTTCTTGTTCATCTCTCTGCTCCAAAGGAAGACACAGGAGAGACACAATGAAGCACTCGTCAAAAACGGAGTAAAACCCAACATTTGAAAGCTAGAACAAACAGGGAGTTTGGGACACAGATGAAGATGTTATTTATTGCCAGACATGTTTGGATTTCCATGTATCCCAGCTCAGGTTTTGAGCTCCACATGGTTCCCTTAGCCAGCAAGAAAGACTAAATTCCTTCAGTGGAGAGATTACTTGGTGATATAACACAGCCTGTACTCTGCCAGAGCTCGCCAGATTGCACAACTCTGTCTGGACCTAGAAAAACAAGCAGTGTCTGAGCACTGCTTGAATACACTCCCATTGCTTTCTGTGGGAGAAATGAGCACAGTGCTGAAACCTCAGCCCCTTACCCACACAAGAGCTCAGCGTTTCCCCCCGGCCCTGTCCTTACCTGAGGAGCTCCAGCTGCCGAAGGAGGCTTTGTTTCTCTTTCTGCATGTTCTTGGAGACTCTAAACACATCCCTGGGCAAAGGGGATTTTAAAAGGGGAAATAAGTTAATGGGATACAAAGATCCCTTTCTCAGAGATGCTCATGGTATTCTCCAAGATAAGGGCCTGCCCTATGCTAGGAAGATCCTCCCCCGCCCCCCCCCCCAAAAAAATTGATGTCAGCATTTTCCTGTGGTGTTGGAAGGACTTTTTTCCCTCTGGGTTCGGTAATCCAATAGAGTAGTGAATTTTGTAGTCAGAGTGTCTGACTATACTTCTCTTCCATCATTAAGGTTTTATAGTATACAAAAACGGGTACCTCATGGATTATGAGTGCCTAAATTTGCACATTAACTGTATATAGTAGAACATCTGCAAAACGAAAAGGTGGTTTCTCCTACAGTAGAAATGCTCTGCCTTAAAACTTTTTGCTCATTTTCCTTTGCTTTTATTGTGAGAATATTCTTCAAAACAAACTAGGATAGGCAAATTAATGACAAAACTGGCATAATACACATCCCTTCAGTGTGTTTTTGAGAAGCTTCCACCCTCCTGGGGTTTAGCAACATTGTTATTTGCAATCAGTAATTTTCCTGTTTTCTGCAATGATAGAGGATTAAAGACCAATTAGGTTTCAATCTAAGCACTAACCCAAGCTTTGGACAATTTTTCATTTTTCATTTATATTTGAATGAAATCACAGTTCATAGTTGGAGCAAACTTTACATTTCATGTTTTTTTACTGTGTCCCCACACAACAGATAAGATTGCTGTACTTCTCATTTTTAGAAGAAATGTTAAATAGCTTTTTATGACACATGGACCTACAACCTGGTCTAGTGGAAGGTGTCCCTGCCCATGGCAGGGGGGTTGGAACTAGGTAATCTTAAAGGTCCCTTCCAACTCTAACCATTCTATGATTCTATGATTACGAGTTGTGTTTTCTTTGGGATTCAGAGGAAGTAGCAGTGCCACAGGAGCTGGGATGGCTGGGTTGTACCCCAGCTCTCCCGCTCTCCTTCAACTTGAGGGCAGGCATCCTATATTCTCCTTTCACACTCCAGTTTCCTCAGCTGCTAGGGACAGGAAGGATGCTCACTGCCATCTAGATCTGAAACATCCCGATGTTTTAGCTAAGTATCATTAGATTAAGCCCACAAACAGGAACACAAGTGATAAGAAGAGGATCTATAGAAACATTATAGAGGCAACGGTGAACTGGAAAATGCACAGAGGAGAGGCCTCCTTTAGGCTGAGGAACATCTGTACTTTTTACAGTGTTTTTCTAGCCAAATATCAATGAACATATTCATTCCTCACTAAAGGCAGATGGGAGATAGCAGTATCACTCCCTGTTTAGGCCCATAAGACCACTGGGATGTTACTACTTTTCCTCAAGAAGAGACAATCCTCTGATGAGACCAAGGCTTTTAATTAGAGATCCTTATTATTTAACAATTTGCCCACCCTTCCTTCCTTGCCTGGCTCCCTGCCTTAACACCCCCTTCCCTGCCCATTCCCACCTGTCCTTCTGCTCCTGCTCAAGCTGAGCCTCTTTCTGGAGCTTCTGTAATTGCCCCTTCACCGCCTCCAGCTCCCATTTGCTTTTCTCCAGCTCTTCCAGCAGGTTTTCATTCAGATGCCGTAGCCTTTCGTTCTGCACACGGGTCTCCAGCTGCTCCGAGTTCAGAGACTGTAGCTGATGTTCCAGCTGCAATGAGAGAGGAGGAAGGGTTAAAGACAGAGAGGAAGGGTTTTGTACTACAATCATGCCTGTAAAAACAGGCTGAAAAAGCAGATGTAAACAACGAGGTGGACGGGAGATAAACACTACTTAGGTCTACAGGACCACCAGTGGCATAAAGAAGGTAAATTGGAAGCAATTATTTCTCATCATGCCAGCACTGGGGAGCAAGCAATACAATTAGTCAGGCATAGCTGAGGAAGCGCTTCAGGCAGCTTGAGGAGCTTGCTGCTGTCAGGCATTGTAAAAATCAGAGTGCAAATGAAGGTCAAAGGAGGACTGGAAAAATTTGGAAAGAAGCAGGGGTGTGTCTATCGAGACTTATTAAGCATTGTTGTTGAAATGCATCCTCTAGTTCGGGGGCTTCCTGAGCCCATGGCAGCAGAAAGGGGGATGTACCAAGGTGCTAGGCGTATCTCACACTACACCTGGACCATGAAGTGACTGTGTGGCCTTTACTACTGTTGGAGACAGGACCTCGGGCTAGAGATGTTGTTTAAATGACACTGGGGCACAGCTGCACTCTAGGCAGCACAAGACCTCAGCACAACTAATAAAGCTGATGTGGGAAGTTTAAAGCTTGCTGTCCTGTACTCACTCGGTGATCCAATTCCTCACAAATGGCTGGCATAGTCTGGGAAAGAGGCAAAGGCAGATGCAGCAGTCAAACCCACCCATCTCAGATGACAAGTAGGGCATCACAAGGAGGATCATATTGACACTTCAGTATGTAGCCAGCCATACCAGCTAACCAGGGCCCTCTGCTGAAGCTGGTGTTATGCAGAAATTGTGGTACCCATCTCAGAACTTACAGCCCCAAAATAAAATTATACAATCCATGTATACAAACCGGAGAGGAGCACCAGTTCTGACCAGCGTAGTAGGTGGCAGAGTCAGCCTCCACATTTATACCTTCAGATTGCCTTTTCTCTCAGCCTACCTTCTCTCCCTCTCAAAGGGAAAGTAAAGCAGCACACTGTGGCACAAGATAAAGTGCGTTTTTCTTGCTACCCTGCTATCTGCCAGGACACACATACAACAGTCATGAGCAGGAGTGAACAGAGCTGACCTTTCCCAGGTTCCTTGAAACACAAGCCCCACATATCTCCCCAGTGAGGCTACAAGCACAAGTCACACACAGCTTTGTCTGGAGACTTCCAGTCCTTTGGACATCAGGGAAAATTTGAGCACGACCACATACGCTGAGCAGTGGAGTTGAGACTAAGAAACAGCAACTGCAGCCTACAGCCTTTGCATCTTTCAATAAGCCAGGAGACAGGCTTTAAGTAAAGCACCTGCCTCTCCCTGAGAAATCTCTATTTCACTCAACTCTCCTGTTATGTTGTCCGTGCTGGGAAGTGATACCATAGAAAGCACAATTACAATACTGGTCTTACACCACAAGGGGGACCTGATTATCCACGTAACTCTGAGGCTTGTACTAATCAAAGAGCATCCGAAATGACAATTTGAATAAGAATTAAGTGTCCATGTAGCCCAGTGCTTTGCCTTGACCCATAGCAAGAGGGGATGCTACCTAGGAAGAGCATGCCTAGACACCTAACTGTGGTCCATTCCCCTCACACACACCCCCGTGCATGGTCATCTATACCTACAGCATCTATAGTCCCTGGACTAGGGAAGTTACATACCTGACTATTCCTCCTTTTAATAAACATTTATGAGCCTCTTGTCCATTTGTTTGTCCAACCTGTTTTTGAACTGCTGATACTACCTGCCTCCTGTGCCAAAAAAGTCCAAAGGTTCACTAATCTGTGTAAAGAAGTAGGTTCTTCTGAATCAAATTTATACTGGTCTCACCGAGCGTCCCTTACCTCTGCTGTTGCAGGATTTAGAGAATAACAGTTCTATGTGGACCTTATCCACCACCTTCCTGAGTCCATAAAGCTCAGTTATATCTTCCTCCCTCAGTCTCCCACTCTCCAAAATCAAGTCTAGGCTTTCCTAGTTTCTCTTCCTAAGGCAGATGACTCCATTTCCTTAATCACATTAGTTCTTTGTACCTTCATACTCAAGAAGGACACAGAGGAGTTAGAGGAGACTAGAAATGCACATGCCAATTGAGGCATATCAAGGGTGTGGGCAGCAGGAAACTGATGTCCCCTATCTTATTCTCAATATCCTTCCTGATGGCACCTAAGTTTTGCTGACTTTTCCAGCTGCTGTGCAATGAGCTGATGATTTCAGAGAAGTGCTATTTCACCCATATCGCAGCTAGGTATCCAACTTGCATACCCCTAGTCACCAGCACCTTACAGGTACCTCCCATGACTTGTTTCTGTGGTGGTCATGTTTCAGTTCTTCAGACAAAAAGGAAAAAGATATCCAGAATGGTCTGTCCCATATAAACGTCCATGCCAGGGCTGGCATGCTACAGGAAAGCTACTGCTTTGATCTTTTATGTGACTGATTAATCAGTACGTCATTAGGTGCTGAAATGCATATATACAGTACGTACAGCCCTAAGTGTCACAGAACTGTTTACTCTGGGTTATTTTGGAGCAACCAGAAAACACAAACTGGAGAAATTTGGCTCTTGTATGTCCATACGCAGCTTGCTTTCACACCACAAAAGGCTCCAAATTCACAACTTCCAAATTTTTACCCTGTCTTCCTTGCCAAATAGTTATTGTACAACTAATATGAAGATTGTGCCAAGAGAAAACAAAGCAGACAAGAAAATGCATTAACAGAACGCTCACAGGAAGACATTACAGTTGAACACAAACCAATCACCTGACAAACCACTTCAACATTTTCAGAGACAGGAGACAACTAGACTAGCTAGTACCAGACTAGCTAGTACCAACCCTCAGCAGATGAAAACCATTCTCAGTCAGAAAAGGTCTTAGCAGAAAGACAGTAGAAGGGGACATGCTTCTGTAGGAAGGATTTGGGTCCTGTTACCTTCTTCTGGCGGTAGAGGATTTTCTCCAGCTCCTGCTCTTTGCTGCGCAGTTCCTTCTGGAGCAGATTACTCTTGTCATGTCTCAGTGCTTCCTGCAGAGGTAAAGATACACACCTGTGCATACAACACCAGAACGCTAAGGGCTGTTCCTTGGCCATAGGAGCCACCACCTCTACTTCAGACCAGAGAAAGTTTGAGTTCAGCCAAGAGTGATGAGGTACCTGGCAGATCAGTCTCTCCCTTTCTGCTTTGATCTGTTGCTCCATTTCTTCATAAAGGCACCTGACTTCTCGGTCATGGTCTGTCTCCTTCCTACAAAAGGCAGGGTGCACACAGGTCAGGAGAGAGAAAGACAATACTGAAAGAAAACAGGAGAGAAGGGTGGAAACAGATTCCCACTACCAGCTCTGTGGTATTGAGTGGGATTTTAACTATACCGAATGTTATGCATGGGCACTGATGCAAAACAAACCCATGGGGATCAGATCAAGATACAGAGTAATTTTATTACAGAAAAAAAAAAAAAAAAAATCTGTGTCCTCACATCAGTCTCTCCTTGCCTTTGAGGCAGCATCCAAGCATCAGCTAGATCCTGACAGCAAACAAGCATGATATTCCCCTTACCGCTTCAATGCCTGTTCCATAGATTCCTTCTCGTGATTCACCTCCCTTACGTAGGATGAAACACGCAACAGAAACTCTTCAAAATTGGCTAAGAGCTCCGGACGCTCCTTCCGTAGCCGAGCCCAGAGCTCCCGAATCTCACGCGGACTGGAGCAAGCATACAAGAAAGTAGGAAAGCAAATGAGTTTCTGTGTCAATTTATGGACTGTTACTCCAACTCCAACATGCACTCAGGACAAACTGCCCTTCTCCTGTGATGACCTCCATTAAACCATAACAGCAAAGAGGGGAGTTGGACAGTGATGGAGCATGCATGGGGATTGAGATCTACTGCAAGGTTAAAATAAAGGAAGTCATCTGAAAGAGGAAAAGTCTAGGAAGCAAATCTGGAATTATTATTTTTCAAGTATTCAGCAATAACATATTTGGTGTCTAAACCAAGACTCAAAGAGATGAACATTCAGCAAATTTGCTGTGAGCTATGGTCAAGCAGCAAACTGTTACAGCCCAGGGATTTCGCATACGTCACACAGGTGGTGTTCTCACACCAGGACTGTACCAGTGGATGCTACTGTCCTTGTTATTTACTTATTTTACAGGTTTGGAAACTAAGGCACAAACAAAAGAAGCAAATTCGCCCAGGTGTCACATCAAGATAATAACAGAGGAAGCCCTGGAAACCCAAAGTCTTTTTTTCTGAACCTGCAATAATGATTACACTGTTTTGGCCTTTAATTCATTATAACTTGAACACAGAACTTATAAACGTCTTTCCCAAAGAGTCTTATAAGCCCGCAGACACCACTTCATGCTTCTTTTGGGGGAAGAGCTTTTTATTAACTGTTTTCTTTTTTTTTCTTTTTTTTTTTAAATTCATTAAGTACTTTGGAGGAACTGCCTTGAACCATACAGAATAATTATACCTATAGACATTATCAAAATAGGTATTTTTCTTTGTCTACGTATTTGTGTCCCTTAATATTTTTTGTGAGAAAATAAACAAAAACACAACTAAAAAGCTCGATTCCCCCTGCCACCATTGCATGATAGCCTCCTTTTTCTGTCCCAAGTTGAAAAAGTTACTAGCACTTCATCAAAACTTGGAGTTTTAAATAACAGAACATATTGAGTCCCATTAATAAACAAAACCATTTATTTCTAGCAAAAACAGTGAAGACAAATAGTTCAGATTCCTGTTCTGACCCCAATTAGCTTCTGGTTTATATTACTACTTTACAACAGCTGGCTTGGCACAAAGGCATGACATGAAGTAGCTACTGAACTCACTGCATAAAACTGCAAGTAAGTGGTCAAAATAAAACACAGGATAATTTCACTTTAAGACTTGATGCTTCTCAAAGCAGAATTATAAACAGCAGAGGCTATTTTTCTACAACAATAATATGGCCTTTCACAGTGTCATTCCATTATTTGAGGCATAACAGCTTTCCAGAATTTTTCAGGACAGGAGAAGTTGTTTAGCATGAAAAGAAACACGGAGGTGCTTCGCATCACAGTGCAAACTACAAAAAAAAAAAACAAAAAAAAACTGTTTCATGACAGATGCAGCTCTGAAAGCAAGAAACTCCTCACTCTCAGCTTCGGTCTCCAATCCTGTCTGTCTCCTGCCCCTACCTGGGCTGCTTCTCTGCAAACTGGCAACACTGTTGGACTGAAAAACGGCTGCCACAGATACTGTTAGGCACCCCAGCCCCAGCAGATGTGCATCAGTAAGAACCAGTTACACATAATGCTTCACTTCGGAAGGTCCTAAAAAAATGGCTGGATAGCACTGGGGACAGCAGACACTACTGGGGCCACACACAAGAGCATTAATATAAAATTTCAAAGCTCAGGTGACCATCCCTTGCCCAGTTTAGCCTTTCACACTCTTGAGATCAGCCCAGACCTAACCAGTCCCTTGAGTACAGATCTGTCACAGAGACTCTTAGTATTAAGATCGCCTGAACATATGTGAACAGTCAATCACCACTTTGGAGCAGACAGCACACTCATATCCTCCTTACCTTGTCTAACCCTCACATGCTTCTTTTCATTTGCTGCAGGCGGATGGGCTCCCACGCCACCAACTGCTACATTTTACAGCTGTGGTCTGAACTCTAGTTTGGGAAACTCTTTGTGAAAAGCACTGCACTAAAAGTAATTGTAAACTGATGAGAAAACCCAGACTTCACTGCATTTGTTACCAAGAATATGAAAACCCAAGACAGCAGTACAGAAAGCCCAAGCAGTGCTTCAGAGAGCAAGAGGCTCAGTCCACCTCTTTGGTCTTTGCTGGTACTTTGAAGTTTTGGTAATGCAAGATCAAAACAGGGTAGAAGTAATGCCATGCAACTCCCCTACTTACTCATCAAACACGTGGGCTGCTCCGAGCTGCTCCATCATGGAACAGAATCGTTTCTCTTCATCATCTTCTGCTGGGTCCAAGTCATCTGACCAGCCTGACTCAAAGGTCTCCTCGTGTCTGGAGTGATCCATTCTCCCAGCCCCTTGACACAATTCAATCCCTATTAACTTTCCTGGTGGAAGGAGAAGGGAAGAAGGAGAGTAAAATCAAATTGGATGTCATTTAATAAGCTGCTATTTAAGTGGCAGCCTGACAGAGCTCTATGAGAAGCTGCTTGCACACTGCTGGTGTAGAATACAGCTCCTGGTCAGTAAAGAGCCTCTGTTCTGACGTCCTGAGTGATGTCAGCATCCAGTCTGCAATGCTGGGACTGAAACTGGCTCTCAGCCCTGCCTGTTAGGGCTCTGTTCACATCTGTGTGAAGATGATCTACCACCCACGGCCTTGGATTCTCAGCATGTGAAACATGGTATTAGGTCACTTCAGTCCCATGGAGCAGTGCTGCGAGTTCAGTTGCCAATGATCCCACAAGCTCCCTCTGGAACTGCAAGCCAGGCACTGAATAGCACCATGCCTCAGTTCCCCAGCTTAAAAAAAAAAAGCAAGGAGGAGATCATTACCCTTCCTTTCTCATGTGCTACATCTGTTCTGATTCAAGTGCTATGGGACAAGGACCTCCTCTTGCTAGGATTGCGTAGAGTGTCTGAACAAAATGAACTTACCTTCTGAACAACCCCCCTTCCCCATCCCACATACAGATGGCTTCCAGCTATCTGGATCCTGTTTCATGCTGAGACACTAATGCCATGAAAACTTCATGCTATGCAAGGCATGTGACAAATCCTGGTGCTGGGAACAAATTCTTCTCAAAGAAAGAAATCAAGCAATCCTATCCAAAACGCAGGCCCCCATCCTGTATACAGAGGTCAGACCTCCATTAGCAGCTGCTCATCTTTCCAAAACATATCTGCTTGGTTCAAAAGGCAGAAATGACATCCCAGCTACAGGGCCAGGAGCCAAGGGTGTTCAGAGCACGGATGAGAACATGACACTGACTTAAGGGGAAAAATATCCACTATTTGTGTACCTCAAGTCATTTAACTCGACCACTTCCTAACTCCGTATGTCCAGAACCTAGCTGCTCCTCTGCGGCTCTTAAGATGTGCTGAAGAAAATCTTGCAGTAAAAAAAACTTGCAGTGTGGAGATACCGGCCCTGTTCAGCTTAAAAACTGAGGCTTGGACAGTTAATTAAGGAGATGGGCTTAGATTAGGCACTTTGAATGTCTGCTTTTACAGCTGGGAAAATTGAGCTAGAGAATGAGCTGAAGATTGTTTTGGCATTCTAGGAGGATCTCAGATTGCTTTAAATTGAACATTTTAAATGTACCTTCTTTTGTCAGTTGTGCAGATGCACCCTTTAACCTCTCAGAGGCCACTCAAGGAGCCCTCTCAAGAAGTAGAGTTGACTGAAGCTTGAACTGCTTCCCCCTCTTTTCCCCCCTGAACACTCCAGAAGGAAGACAGCAGTATGCCATGCCAAACCCTTGAGTTAGGGGCAAAGTCTGAAAAGGATTTCATTGAAGCCATACACAAAGAACAACCATAAAAAAAAAGAAACGCAGATATGAGGTGTTTTGCTGAGACTGGAGCAAGTCCCACAGAGCCAGGCTGCCAACACAGGGCAGCACCTGACAAGTGGTGACTAACACAAAGAGAAATCTTGCCTGCCTCTGCCAGAAATGGCACTGATACAGGTATTCTCATGATGTCCATCTAAGGCTATGGCTGGGACAAATGTCTCAAACAATGAGATTTGGGAATAACCAAGTCATAACACAGAGAGCACTGTGGATGCCAAGGTGCCCAAATGGCACCTATTCACCTTCTGCTCTGCATCCCCCCTCTAGTCTGCTCTCGTGAGACCCCACTTGGAGTACTGCATTCAGCTCCGAGGCCCCCAACATAGGAAGGACATGGACCTGTTGGAGCAAGTCCAGAGGGGGGCAACAAAGATGATCAGAGGGCTGGAGCACCTGTCCTACAAGGACAGGCTGAGAGTTGGGGTTTTTCAGCCTGGAGAAGAGCAGGTTCCGGGGAGACCTTATAGCAGCCTTCCAGTACTTCACGGGGGCTTAAAGGAAAGATGGGGAGGGACTCTTAATCAGGCAGTGTAGTGATAGGATGAGAGGTAATGGTTTTAAACTAAAAGAGAGTGGATTTAAATTAGACACTAGGAAAAGATTCTTTACTGTGAGGGTGGTGAGATACTGGAACAGGTTGCTCAGAGAAGTTGTGGATGCTCCATTCCTGGAAGTGCTCAAGGCCAGGTCGGGTGGGACTTTGAGTAACCTGGTCTAGTGGAAGGTGTCTGGAAGGTGTCCCTGCCCACAGCAGGGGGGTTGGAACTAGATGATCTTTAAGGTAAGAAAGTCCACACTCCCGAGGTGACTTGTTTCTGGCAAAGGCAGCAGAACCAGCCAACAAGGCTTCCCCCCCCGGCAGGCAGGGACACAAGGCAGAAACAGGCACAGTCAGCAGGCACTCGATGGGTTAACACATTCCCAGAACACAGCTTTCCATGTTTATTCTGAGGAAATCTTTACAGCTTCTCCTTTCCTGGCTAGCTGTTTCTGGCAATTCAAATTGAAGCACCAAAAAGATCCCTCCTCTCCAAGTTGAAAAAAGCCATGAGCAACGACAATCTGAGCAATCGGGACACTGCAACTCAAGAGCCTCCACAATCACTTCTGAAAACCCTAGACCACCTGTGTTCACTTCCTTCGACCTGATCCCATTAACACATCTACATGTCCAAGGAAGGTGCTAACAGGGTGCAGACTTTCTGAGAGCTCACAACCAGCTAAGGCAACTAAGTGCCCACTGCAAAGGTTATTAGTGCTATGGTGGTTCTCCTCCTTAACACTTCTTGCACTGCTTGTGCTACTGGATGAAGACTGGGGTATAGAATTAGTATTCTCCTAGTGTTTGGAAAAGGCAACAGTAAGAGGAAAACAAAAGTTCATTTGCCAGTGTGCTAGACTGCTAACAGGACTCCTACTAACATCTTTGAACAGCACTGAATAAAACAGCTGGACACAGCTGCCAAGAGGCGTATTTCTGTCCCCTCACCCAATGAGAGTCCTTATCCAGATGAACAACTGTGGATCACACGGCCAGATACAGGCTGCAGTCTGTACCACCTCCTGTAGGAGATGCTCAGAAGCTGGCTCTACCAGGTAGGCAGGTTGTGGAAGAAGGCAACACAAAGCCCCAGGAAGGGGGCGAGCAGTATTGCACACACACCTTCTCCAATGATATTCACCATAAGCATGGGACACTGCCCTGTATAGCCGGTACAGCTTCGGCAGAACCACTGCACCTTCTGTCGTACCAACATCATGTCACAGGTGGGCTTTCTCCTTCCTCTGCCTCTGTGCAGTCCTTACCTAATCCCATGCTGAACTCCACAGGCGTCAGGTATCCATTATTGTTCTGTTCCAAGCTGTCAAAAACAGTCTCCAGCTGTTCAAGGGTTAAGGGGAGCTCACTCTGGAGCCGCTGCAGAGATGAAAGAATTAACAAAATTAAGACATGACTCAAGTCTTCCCTGTGACTAGCTCCTGTCCCTGCTGTCCTCAGCTTTGGCTTACAGCACCACCCTTTCAGCACTGCATCCTGGATGGGATGTGACAGTCTGCCAGTACAGCTGAGAGATGGCACAAATGCCTGTTTGGACCCATTGATACAGCAACGCTTTCCACTACTGGATGATTCAACCAGGATTGCAGAGAGGGAGCTTTGGTTATTTTGTCTGGAGGCAGCTCAAGCGTCTTCCTCCCCCACTTCAGAACCACTGCCTCTAGTTTGCTGCCTGCCTCCCTCCACTCCTGCCCAAGCCCTGCCCAAAGGTGGCTGCCCTCCAGGGCACTGCCAGCTTCCTGTGACCACTGCTGCTCCCAAGAGAGTTCTCTATGGACACATCAGGTACCAGCTCCATCTCTTTGTCCAGAGAGGGAGGACAGACCTGTGGGTGTCTGGATTCAGTTCCCAGCACATGCAGGAAATCTTGCAGATCATTCAGTCTGTAACAAGAGAATTGGTTTTCTTCTGCCATATTCTGCCTGTTGGGACAGTACCACTATTCCCACAGCACAGACAAGGAGCAGAGAGATTTCCCTTCATAATACATGTGTAGAGTACCTACCGTGAATGGACACCCAAAGAAGCTTCCAAATAACAAGAGGTGTAGACTAAAACCTCATTACTGTCCATTAAACGTGCAGCTTTAGATAAAAGCTTAATAAGTATTTTTTAAGGTAACTACACAAAATTAGACATCACACAACCCAAAACAAAGTGAGTCAATAATTAAACCATCATGGGCCTGCCAAGTGTTAATTATAGATGGACAGAGACATGAAACAGAGGAAAAACAATGTGCATGTAACCTTCCTGATAAACTGTTAAAAGAAAACTCAAAAAGAACTATAGAGATTCTGTTAACAAATACTGCTTTTAACAGAAAGCAACAAAACACATCATTCCAGAGCAAAGTTATAGTTCAGGCCTAAAGTAAGTTTTCAAGATCAGGCTTTAGCTATGATTGAGACAAAAAAGTTATACAGCTTTTTTTGTTGAGGTTGGTGGATTTTTTTCATTGTTGACATTGTTTGGGGGGGTGTGTGTGTTTTGGTTTTTTTTTAAATTAAACCAAAGATTTCTCCCCCAGATTTCCCATCCACTGCATGCTTAATGTTTGTAGGAACCGTTGCAATTTTTTTTTTATTTTATGCATTTCTTAAAAATTTGCAGTTGCAGTCCCCCTTGTCCCAGGAATCCCCTAGAGGGCCAAGGCCCTTCTGGGTTTTCCAGTTCCCAGCAGCCGGCTGTGACAGAATTTGGCTCCCAGAGATCTGAATAAGAAAGAACCCACATGCACCCCCACATTTGCCAAAAGCAAAGATGTGCCACATTCTCCCCTCTTCTGCTACCCATGACTTTACAGCTCCTCCCAGGAAGGGGGAAGGATTTTTTTCCCTCACCTGCATGTCCACCTTGGTGATAAAACCCTTCTCATCCTTGTCACACAGCTGGAAGAGCTCCCTTGCCTTCTCGAACATCTCCACCTGCACATCATCCAATTCACTCATTTGGCTGGAAGGAGAAACACCAGGAGCCACTCCATCCTCCTCATCCCCTTCCTCTTCTCCTTCCCAGTGGACACATCCCAAGAGCGCTCCCCTCTGGTTCTCCATCTTCTCAAAGTATTTTCTTACAGGGCAGGGGCAACCAGAAGAACTGTGGGGCAGGAAACAGAGAAATCCCAGTCAAACATGACCCCTACCCCACACATCATCTAGTTATGTGCCTTGTTGGTTTGAAAGAACAATATTCAGCATCTGCATCTGTTACCAAGGGGAGGGGGGGAAGACAGAAAGCGTGCACAGAGTTTGCGTAAGAGATACACACCATACATAGGTACACACTGTACACAACATGGGCGTAACTAAGCCCACCAAACAGCCATAACCCTTCACCCTGTGATGGGCTACACTGAGCAAGGATGCTCTTTTGCTATCTCTCCTCCTCTGGCTCAGACCTACAGGGCAGTCAGTTATCTGCTGGTGAAAGCCAGGTGCCAAAGGAAGGTTTCAGGGGAGATGAGAGGATGGAAAGGAAATACTAAAGCATACAGGTAAATCCACATGGCAGCACGGTGATAGTCCCATCAGCTGAGACAGAGGGCTTGAACACCATGAGCAGGGCCAGCTCCCAGCTCTCGCACAGCTCCCTGGATGCCTGGACCAGGATGCTTCTCTCTCGTCTTGGTTCCTCTAGTAATAAAGTGCTTCTATGCCTCCTGTTGCTTTTCTGCACCTTTGAACACCAAACCTGCATCACAACTGCAAGAACCCAGAGCTAGACAAAGGCACAGAGAAAGATCTGTGCAAGTGACAGAGGAAATAGAAGAAGGACTGTCACTCCCAGCCCTCTCCTGCCCAGATCCCCCAGGTCGGCCTTCCATGTCTGACATCTTCTTATTAATGTGTCCCAAATAGTAACTCCATCTCTTTTCGTGTTGTTACAGCACAAAGAAGGGTCAGATAATTCCTACACCAGGAAAAATTTAATAAACTGGGCACTCCTGCGCCTGTTGCCTCCCAGCCTCTGTTTTGAGAGCTCGTAAGCTGCCAGAGTTTTAATCTAAAATGTTCACCTTAATAGGAAGGAAACCAGACGACCATGGAGTCATTTCAGAGGCCAAAGAAAATAATTTCCATTACTTACAAATACCTAAACCAAAAAGGCTAGGAATAACAGCACCTCTTTAAACACAGCACTGTGATTGTAAAGGTGCATACAACACATCCCTACCCCAATCCGACTTCTGACTTACTGATGCCACGTAACACCTTCCAGACAGCTTTTCTTCAGCAACACCACCACATTTTTTAAGCCTTGTTGCACTGATTGCTTTAGACTTCTCCTGCAGATCTGCGTTCTGCATTGCAGAGCAGAAGTGAGCTGTGCAAGCAGGCTGAGAGCAGATTTAAACAGTACTAGACAAAGAGGGCTTGAGGGTTGTGTTTTTGGTTTTTTTAATCTCCAAGAAATTAAAAGCCACGTACAGATGCCGTGATAACAAACAAGTTAATTCTGTTTGCACTCTTAGTACAATGGGAGGATAAAGAGCATGATGGCCACAAAGAATGTCACATGTGAGAATTATATGAAGCTGACACAAAAGAAGGCGGCAATTACGCACCACGCTATTTGACTCCGTTTATTACTGCTGGTTCATGAGCCAGAGGGTGGTTCTGCTTCGAAGAACAAGCAGAACACTTCACTCCCCCTTTCAAATCAGTGTTTTTTCAGGGCACCTCCGTTTAGCTTGAGAAGATATTTATTTGAAACTCTGCAGAAAACTACCTATAAATAAGATTATCTATTATATATGTTTCCAGCCAAGTAGACATTCCTGGCAAGCAATGGACACAGAGCTGGACACAAGCTTTGGGGAATACTGCAGAGGAAAGGAAGAAAGAAAGCATGAAAAGTGAGAAGGCAGGGGGCGTCTTTCTCTCTAGCTCTTTTCCCAAACAAACCCTCCTATCAAGCATTTTTTTGTGTTATGGAGCCAACACAGCAAGATTTGGAGACTAAAGCTTGATTCTCTCCGCTCCCTGGACAGTCAGCTTGCTTCTGATGGCAAGTCTGTACGTGTTAGCAGTAAAGAAGTTGTAAAAAACCCTAGCTTTTCACATTCAAGCAAAAGTTGCAAAGCTTGCCTTGAAAGAAGAAAACCAAAAAAAGACCCAAATATCTATGCTACATAGATTTTACAGATGATTACAGTGAGGAGTCACATAGTCCAACTGATGATTGAGGGAGGTGATTCTGCCTCTCTGCTCTCGTGAGACCATACCTGAGGTACTGCGTCCAGCTCTGGAACCCCCAACACAAGAAGGACATGGACATGTTGGAGCAAGTCCAGAGAAGGGCCACGAAGATGATCAGAGGGCTGGAGCACCTCTCCTGTGAAGACAGGCTGAGAGAGTTGGGCTTGTTCAGCCTGGAGAAGAGAAGACTCTGGGGAGACCTTATAGCAGCTTTCCAGTATCTGAAGGGCGCCTACAAGCAAGTTGGAGAGGGACCTTTTACAAGGACATGTAGTGATAAGACAAGGGGTAATGGCTTCAAAGTGGAAGACAGTAGATTTAGATTAGGGATTAGGAAGAATTTTTTCACTGAGGGTGGTGAGGCACTGGAACAGGTTGCCCAGAGAAGTTTTGAAGGTCAGGTTGGGTGAGGCTTTGAGCAACCAGGTCTAGTTGGAGGTGTCCTTGCCCATTGCAGGGGGGTTAGAACTAGATGATCTTTCAGTCCCTTACAACCAAAACAATTTTATGATTCTATGAATGATAATTATTGGCTGCTGCAGGCTATCTCGCTGAAGCTTTTTTTCTGTGAAGACACAGTCTCAGCACAAGCAGCACCCTGTACCAGACGGTAAGTGCAGGTGGCAGCAGGGGAGGAAATTAAATGGGAGTCCAAAGCAAGAGCTGTAATAGGATTGCAGAAAACAGCCAGAATAAGAAAAAGTGCGAATAAGAAATATGTTTTCTAAGACATCACTCTAGCTGCCTAAGAGACACTGAGGTTCCCAGAAGATCTTACTTTCTTGTTAGCAGCTTCATCGTTTCTATTTCAAAAGCCAGAGCAGCCCACACAGACAATGTCTCCCCAGCTCTGCTGCAGCAAACAAAAGGTTGTATGAGGAGGATGTTCTGTTCTGTCTCAGAGACATATCTGCAAGCTGAAATCAGACTCATTACATCCCTACCTCGAGCATCTCCTCATTTTATCAAACGCCCAGCTGTACTGTAGTTCTCAAACACTGGCTGAACTAAAAGCCTCTTAATTAGAAGAGCTGGGAGTCTGAAATGGACACGAGCCTGAAAAGATTTCACCTACATCTAAAAGACCAAGCCCATTAATTCAATGTTTCAAGTGCAGAGTCTCTTGTTCAAGCTGCTTCAAGCCAGATGTGGATCTGTCAATGGCGAGACAGCACTTGTAGAGGAACAAAGCAGCAAATAAGAGAGAGCCCCAGTAAGCAAAATCCACTGCAGCTCTGATGGACTTCTCTCCTGATGGACTTTCAGCTTGGGAAGAGCCATGCTTGACTGACACAAGAGAAGACAGGTATGGGCACCTAATGCTTTCGGTCAGGGAAACCTGTGCTCGTCCAGTGAGATGTAGCCAAACCAACTTCAGTGACAAAGCCAAGGGTCATTACCAAATCTTCCTGAGGGGATTAATTTTTACAGGTCTCCTCTGGCAGGACAAGGCAGTCATTGAGTCAGCACCAGTTAAGAATTATTTTCCACACTTAGCCTGGAGCAAGGACAATCTCTGTATCTTGTTGTATCTGTTGATTTCCATTATAACAACATCACACCAAAGTTCATCTAGCCCAGCATCTTGCCCTCAACAGTGGCCAGGAGCGGCTGGTGAGGGAAGAGCAACAGCAAGGCAAGCACAGAGAAGACTTCCCTGAAGAGATCTGCCAGCCTCTAGCCACTGTCAGCCTGGGGTAATTCCTGAGCCATATGGTTCCTCCTTCATCTTTCAAGACACTTGTCCAGCCTCCCTTGGAATCCATATGAAACGTTCTCTGTTCACGTGAGCATGCTGATAGAAACAGGGTGCTAACAAAAATGGAGCCAGACTCTTCTCGGTGGTGCCCAGTGACAGGACGAGGGGCAATGGGCACAAGTTGGAACATTGGAAGTTCCGTTCCAATACACAGAAAAACTTCTTTACAGTTCGGGTGACAGAGCCCTGGAACAGGCTGCCCAGGGAGGTTGTGGAGTCCCCTTCTTCGGAGATTTTCAAGACCCGCCTGGATGCAGTCCTGAGTAATGTGCTTTGGGCAATCCTGCTTTAGCAGGGGAGTTGGACTAGATGATCTCTAGAGGTCCCTTCCAACTCTGAAAATTCTGTGATTCTGTGAAAGCTTCATGGGACTATTCCAGTTTTCTAGGTATATGGTTTGACCAGCACCCACTCCACAAGAGACAGTGTCCCAGCTTCAGCTCAAACAAGTGCTTCCTGCCACCTTCACATCTGGAAACCATGGCAGAGACCAAAAACTCTTCCAAGGCCTGGGAGATCTACCAGGAAGATGGAAGTGCCAGGGACACAGGGGCATCCATGGCCTCGAATCACCCTGGCTAGCCTCAGTGTGTAATGTTATTCTACAGCCCCCGCTTCCCCAACCCCAGGGGTTTGGCTGCCTGTGCTCAAGGTCAGCTCTGATACTGCACAGTCTAGATTTGGGCAGCGTCCAACATCTGAACAACCTGACACAGAGCTTAAGAGGAAGCCAGTCTTCAGGATGTGTGGATTACACCAGGTATCTCCTGCCACGATGTGTGCTGGGGCCCAGAAAGCAAAAATTCACCTGCTCCTGCAAGACAACTTTCCCAGAGCCTGGAAACAGACATAGACCTTCTCAGACACAGCACAGAACAGGCAATACAACTGCCAGTAAAGACAGCTAACACCAGGTCTTGCATTTCTACACAGAGGTAACTCAGGCCAGTCTTAAGTGCATATTTTAACCATCTGAGGCATAAACTGTAGTTTGTCCTGTGCAGAGCTGTGCCAGAAAGTCAGCTGGATCCCATGGGCATGGCATCCTTTGGGGAAATCACAAGACGTGAATTTTAATCCTGACTCCGCTTGCCATATGGCCTGGAGTAAGTCACATCACCTGCCTATGCTT